ATATTGGAAGACAATCTTGCAAGACTTGGATGCTCAAATTCTAGCTTGGAGAAGAAGCTAGACCATTTTAGAGAGAGGCTAGAGGTTTTTGTGTTTTAGGTTGAAGGGTGAATGAAATGAAAGAGTGTTGCTAGGTTTGCTTGAATCACAAACCTTAGGTAGAAAGAAATTCTTACACTTACTAATGTTGGAAAAATAAGGGAACAAGGGCACAATTCAAGAAGCACAAGGTACAAGCCTTTGACTTAAGTGGCTAGTCAAAATCTAGTCCCTCGACTATTAAATTTCAGGATTTTTAGGAATACATTAGCAAAGGGACTTGGATTAATTCTTTAATTAATCCTTGATTAGTGTTTGGATTTACGGGGTGTCATGGGTCACGTGAAGACATTAAACATATAATGGAAACGTGTGTAAATTTATATAAGTAATTAATAGTTATTATTAAACTAGTGATGCAAAGTATTTACATATATTTTATGTCTTGTATTAATAGGTGTATGGCTGCAACAAGCATGTTGAATGGAAAGAAAAATAATCGTTCACTGAAATGGACTACATGTTCGGTAAGTACTTCATTCACTTTGTAAAACATGCAAACTTATTGTTTTTTTATTAATTTTTTTTTTTATTTTATTGTAATTCAAATGTAGTGTGCTATACAAAAGGAAACTACCGAATGTGGTTATTATTATGTGATGAAATTCATGTTGAAAATTGTTTCCAACAACCTAGGCAAAGGAATGGATAAGGCAGGTAATTTAATAATATGTCTTTTTTCTTCAAATGTATAAAAATACTTGCTTATTTATATTTTTATTTCTTTTGAACTTTGTAGACTTTGGAAAGACAAGGAAGATTGCCCTACAACAAACAAGAGATTGATGAAGTTAGAGACAAATGGTCTAAGTTTTTTATTGATGAATGGGTTAATAAAATGCTTCTTAGTTGATACTTTACGTTTAAAATTAGTTTATGTTTATTGGCTTGATATTTAGTAATTTTGATGAATTGTGTTCTTTATATTAGTTTCATGTTTAGTAGTTTGAATTAGTTTAATGAATTATCTTATGTATATTAATTTCAAATTAGTTGAAGTTGAATGTTAAGTCACTGCACATGTTCTGAAAATTGATACAGGTTGTGGAAGAAATCATAAAATAATTTTAATATTAAAAAAATAATAACTATACAACGTCAGGTTCTGTGAAACATCAACGTCGTAGTAATTAAAAATCGTAATAATTAATATACGACGTATATTTAGTAAATATCCGATGTCGTATTATTTTTTTTTTTAAAAAAAGTATTTAACTTAAGACGTCGGTTATTTTTATAAAGCGACGTCTTAAGTAAATTATTTTTTTTAAAAAAATATATACGACGTCGGTCTTATCTTAAAGGCCGACGTCGTATATTAATTATTTAAAAAAAAAAATAATATGACGTCGGCTGTATACAAATAGCCGATGTCATAAGTTAATTTTTTAATTTAAAAAAATATACGACGTCAATTTTTTAACTGATGTCGTATCATTTATGTACGATGTCTCAAAAATGGTGTCGAAAGATAACCGACGTTAAATGGGGTCATAAAATCAACGTTAAAGCCGCCCTTTATGTAGTAGTGATACTTTTGATCAACAATAATGAAATTATTGATTTTTTTTTAATTTCCATTCGTTGTTGAGACAAATTGTTTTGAGAATTTGTCAATGACAATTGCTACAATTGTTGTCAATTGATAATAAATAATTCAAAATATATGGTTACAATGGATATTGTTATAATGATATAGTAAAAATTAAATTAACTTACAAATTTCTTTAGAAGTTTTCATGCATTGATAATATTCTGATGTGTAAACTTATTCAATTGGGGCCAGTGGGATGTTAACATTGTCAATTCTTTGAAAATGGTCGTACCGTTTTAGAGTCCATGTGTAATTGTATTTATGATCAACAATTTTGTAGTTAGGTCGCGCAGGTCTGACAATGATGTAAGAACAATTTTGTCCGATAAACAAATAATAGTATAATATTTGTAAAGTAATGTACAATTGTACAATTATAAAAAGAGTTAATACCTCCAATGGTCCTCCGAGTATTAGGGGTTTACCAGTTATGGTCCTCCAAGTTTCAAATGACCTCCAATGGTCCTCCATGTTTTAAAAAATAACTACCCGTGGTCCTTTTAGGACGTCTCGTGGTCATTTTAAACTCGGGTTATTTTAAGAATTAGGACCACGAGTGGTTATTTTTCAAAACATGGAGGACTATTTGAGGTCATTTAAAACTCGGAGGACCACAGCTGGTAAACCCCTAATACTCGGAGGACCATTGGAGGTATTAACTCATTATAAAAATACATACAGAAAATATTAATACCATAATGACCTAAATCATTCCAATTATGCAAAAGCATAATTGAAATATTAAGTTTGATTCTAAATAATCAAAAGAAGATTAATTAAATGAAAAAAAAAAAACTTAACCTAATTTTTTTTTAATGTAACAAAATCAAATGATTTTTAAAGTTCATGATTTATGATCTTTGATGCTCAACTTTGAATGCTATATATTTAGTTGGACTAATTATTTTGCCAAAGTTTATGTTAAATTATATATATATATATATATATATATATATATATATATATATATATATAGGGTTGAGTTCAAATGAGGATAACAATATATAGAGGATTGTGAGGACAAATAATGGGCACACAATAAATTACTATCATGCACACAATTTAATACATAATGGCACACAAGAATATATGTAAACATCAGGTTTCGAACCCATGCTCTATTAATTAACAAATGTATGCACGCGACATACAAACTGTGGCACACGACTACATTCGGCCATGCACACGACATACCGACTAATGGCACACACTACATCTGTCCTCACAGTCCTCTATAATATACTTGTCCTCATTTGAACGCAAGTCTATATATATATATATATATATATATATATATATATATATATATATATATATATATATATATATATATATATATATATATATATATATATATATATATATATTAATACGTTTTAACATATTCGTAGTATATGTTTAGCAATTATGCCAACTCTAATTGGGATGTGGTTCGAACTTAAGACCTTTTATATAAATTAATGAGTAAGTTAAGAATAATAAATAGTTAACGGAATATTCCGTTACTAAAGTTTATACTAACGGAATTTAGGGAAATCAAATGATTTTTAAAGTTCCTGTTTTATGATCTTTGATGCTCAACTTTGAATGCTATGTATTTAGTCGGGCTAATTATTTTGCCAAACTTTATGTTAAATTATATATATATATATATATATATATATATATATATATATATATATATATATATATATATATATATATATATATATATATTAGTTCCTGTGAGGTCAGGTCTTCCCATGCGGTCAGTGCGGCATACACCATTAGGTATGCATAAATGCACCATACAGTGTTCGAAAATACACCGAAATGAAATGCCAAAAAATGCACCACACAAAAAAAAAAAAAAATACACCACACATATAGTGTATTTACGAACACTGTGTGGTGCATTTATGCATACCTAATGGTGTATGTCGCACTGACCGCACGGGAAGACCTGACCTCACAGGAACCTGACTTTTAACATATTCGTAGTATATGTTTAACAATTATGCCAACTCTAATTGGGATGTGGTTCGAACTTAAGACCTTTTTATAGAAATTAATGAGTAAGTTAAGAATAATAAATAGTTAATGGAATATTCCATTACTAAAGTTTATACTAACGGAATTTAGGGTTATTTAAAGGAAGAAAATAATATAATAGAGCGTAAATAAGGAAAATCATTAAATAATACTAAATCAAAATAATATGAAACATTCATTTTAAGAAACAATTATACCGACATTTTTTTTGTTCCAGTTAAAGGCCTAACATTATTGGCTCTTATTAAATTTGTATTTGTAGATTGAGTTAATTCCAGCAATGGTCCTCCGACTATTGCAATTTTCCAAAATTGGTCCTTGTCTTTTAATTTGGACGAAATAGACCCTTGACTATCAAATTTGTTCTAGCTTTGTTCCTTCCGTTAAGCATCAGTTTGTTAGGGGTTGAGTAAAGGGGTACAAGGGTCATTTCCTCAAGGTAAACAACAGAATCTGCCTGGTTCTTTGTGTCTAACTGTCTATGAAGTCTCTCTCCTCCCTGTCTTCTTGGGCAGATCTTTCAGCTTCCTTGACCATCATATCTACCTGTAGCAAGATCAGCAGCAGTTCATCTGAGAATCAATTACAACTCACGAACATCTAAAATAAATATATCTTGAATTGCAAATCCAGTTCATTTGAAGATAATGGTTTATTGTTGATATGCAAAAAGACAAGCATCATAGTTTAGTGTATCTTCAATCAACATGTTTCTAAAGGCACCAAATTAGTAATGGAAACTGTCATGCCTCATCGTTGGGAAGGGTGCTGGCGCCTGTAATGGTGATGTCTTGTTTCTTCCCAGTGCCCTTATCAACAGCCGTAACAGAGAGAATGTCATTTGCATCAATGTCAAATTTGACCTCGCGCGATTTAAGGAACTCCTTGTGGGTCAGGAGGAATTCCATCAAGGCGGAAGCTGCCTAGAGACTTGCAAATGGAGTTTTGGGTGTAGTGATGGTCATCTGTGTGTACGGATTGATACATATATGCACCAGCATTAGGAAGAAGAAAGCAATAAGAGAAAATGACCATTCTACCCCTCTACTTAATGCCTAACAAACTGACACTTAATGGAAGGACCAATGCTGGAACAAATCTGATAGTCAAAGGTCTATTTTGTCCAAATTAAAAGACGAGGACCAATTTTGAAAAATCATAATAGTCGGAGGACCATTGCTGGAATTAACTCTAGATTGTTTTTTAAAATTTTCATTGTTTCATCGTGTCCGGCTGACCGCTCGTCTCTCGCTCTCTGCCTCTCTCGCTGCTCTCCGCCTCTCTCTGTCGCTCTCCGCCTCTCTCTGTCGCTCTCGTCTCCTCTCAGGACTCGGGATCCTCTGTCGGCTGTAGCTCTTCACATCGCCTCTGTCCAGACTGTCTTTGGCTCCTCGCGGCATCGCCAGTCGCCACCAAACACGAAAGTGACGGAAAACCAGTGACCGGTCGCCGCCTCACGTTCTCAGTTCATAATCTCAGGTTCATAGTTCCTAATTAGCTAATTATTTTTTGTCCTAATTTCCCTAATTTTGTTTTTACCCTAATTTCCCAAAATCTTAGACTCAATACTGAATTTTATGGGTGTTGTCGTGTAATAGATCTCAATTTGTTTTGTTAAATGTCTAAATTACAGGTTTTATTTGAATGTGAGCAGTGAGTTACTCACTGTGAGTATGTGTATGTCTAATATTGTTTGAATAATTGAAAGTGAGCAGTGAGTTACTCACTGTGAGTATGTGTATGTCTACTATTGTTTGAATGTGATTATGTGTATGTCTAATATTGTTTGAATAATTGAATGTGAGCAGTGAGTTACTCACTGTGAGTATGTGTATGTCTACTATTGTTTGAATGTGAGTATGTGTATGTCTAATATTGTTTGAATAATTGAATGTGCGCAGTGAGTTACTCACTGTGAGTATGTGTATGTCTACTATTGTTTGAATGTGAGTATGTGTATGTCTAATATTGTTTGAATAATTGAATGTGAGCAGTGAGTTGTGAGTATGTGTATGTGAGTATCCTTAATATTGTTCTTAATGTATGTGCTTTTTGGATGATTAATTGCTAACTAGAGTTAGGCACTTATGCTCTTGAACATTAATTATTGTCTGTGTGCTTATTGAAACTCTGTGAAGCTTAGTACTGGCATAAAACTACAGAATAAACATTGAAGTAGAACTAAGGATGAGTGATGATTTACTGGCATAAAGCTTAGTACTGGCAGTATGTTGAGGCCGGAAGTTGATTTAAGTATGTTGAGGCATAAAGCTTAGTACTGGCAATACTGGCAATAAAACTTAGTAGGGATGAGTAATGATTTGTTAAATGATTGTTTAGTGCTGTATGCTGAAAAATATATCATGGTTCACCACATAATTTGCCCCCAAACCCAGCAAGCTTGGGCTCACAATATCCTCTTGGTGTAAGAACCTTCAGACTGGACTGATATTGGGCTCACATAACAATTTGGTTTATAAAGGTTTGTATTAACAGTGGGATGCTCTGTATGATTCTGCATGGGTTTGTATTCAAGATTTCACTAGGGACCCGTCAAATTATACCATTGATTAGGGTCTATTTTGCATTGTGGGTAGGGGTGGACACTTCAGTATATTACTGAAAACCCATTTGGTAACATTGTTTTGTAACCCAAACGGTTCAGTATTAAACAGAACCGAATCCCATTTGTTTTTTTTTTTTTTTTTTAATAAAATGTATTAGTATTTTCTATTTTCTATACGTGATGCACAAATTATGTGTCCAATATTAGTACTCTGTACTCCCTTTGTCTCATTTATGTCTTACTTACTATTCATTGGTCAAACCAACTTTCTTCTTTATTTATTTTCTTTAATATTTTTTACTTATTTTTAATTTTTATTTATTTATTTATTTATTTATTTTTTTTTTGTGTTTAATAGTACTTTTAATGTAGTTTCTAAATATATAAATTTTGTATGCTAATACTAAAATTAATATTATGAAAAATTGAATTAAAAATAACTTCAGTCAAGTTTTGTTAACGAACCAGACACAAAAATAACTGCTCCACAAGCCTGTGCATCCAGTGGCTGCCCCTCCCCTGCGACAGCGCCGAGCCTGCCGACCACCTGCCCTGCTTCCTGTCTCGCCATTGTTTGAACTTTGAACTTTGAACTTTGAATGATTTCTTCTAGTTTATTGCAATTTATGTTTGAATTTACACTTTCCGGCCTTGGAGGTTGGAATTTCTGGCCTTAAAAGCTACAAATTCCGGATTTTCTAGCATTGAAGATTGGAAAATCCGGCCTTCGAGGCCAGTCAAAGACTGGAAATTCCATCCTTTTTTTTTTTTTTTTTTTGTGAGGGAATTTGTATTTGTAATTACTAGCAAGGTTATCAAGGCGGACTTTCTAGGCGAGATGCCACCAACTTGCCTAGTCGATGACTAGGCGATGAGTATTAAATATATAAAATATATACATATATATTGAAAATATCTTGTCTTGGGCAACCTATTTACTTCAAGTTGCCTTTAGTAGATGAATAGTTTTTTCTAGAATAATGAGAAGTTTAGTATTTATTGTATATTGAAAATACCTTGTCTTGGGAAGCCTTTTTGAACCCTATTTACTTCAAGTCATCTTTGAGAAGATGAATAGTTTTTCCTAGAGTAGTGAGAAGTCTAGTATTTATTGATAACATGTCAGGGTGAGGTAGTGGGCTTTCCTCGGAACAGGAGGACGACGCCGGAGCTCGAATCGCGCCGCCATCGGAGCCTCCACGCGCTGCTGCTGCGCCGCTGCTCTGACGCCACGCGCCGGCGCGTGAGGCAGATTCCGGCGTCTTCTCCAGTTGAAAATTACACCGGTCAACTCGCCTTAGTGTGTAGGTTTTGCCCATGTATGTTTTGTGGGGTTTTGGGTTGTATTTTGCACTTAGGCGAGGCGAGCGAACTAGGCGCAAGGCCGTGACCGCCCAGACGCCTAGGCGGCGCCTAGGCGACGCCTTGATAACCCTGATTACTAGGTTTCAAGTAATCATCAAAGTGTGTGATTAGAGCTATAGATTAATAATAACATTGTAATTGTGTAATGTAATGATGCTTGAAATGGAGCTATAGAGTATAGACTAGAACAGAAGATTATCTATTGTATTGGTGTACTTTGAAGATACTATTTCTCAAGGTGAAAGTATAATTCTCTTCTGTGCAAAGGAAACCGGAAACACTATTGAGTAGTTTAAACAGGGAATATTTTCCCATTAGAATAGCATTTGCAAAGATATATGGCATACTTTGATTCTATGTATGTATGTTTAATGCATGTTCTATTCAATTTCAGTTTAATATGGATTACATTTTGTGATAATTTATTTCCTTGCTATGAGCCTACTAGTTAGCATAACATAGAGTAAAACTCTTCATGTATTGTTATGTGTGATTTATCTGTATCTCTGTTCTCTTGCTTTTTATATGGGCTGGTGAATTAACTATGGCTAGAAATCTAGAATACTAGATGATGTGCCATTTGGGCTGTTTCTCTTTCTTTCTTTTGCTAAAGCCTTACATCAATCAGTGCTCAACTCCCCTAAAGTCTTTTTCTTTCTTTTTTAGCTCTTTCAAGTTTCATCATGTGTATGTTATGTTCTAATAAAGGTGTTTGTCTTTGCCTATTGTTCTTTACATATTTTTCTTATTTTTTTTGACAATGTAAACATATGTAATTTATATTCAAATAGCCGATATAAGTATTATCTTTCCACATGCCCGCATGGGCTTAGCTCATTGGTTCAGTAGGTAGTATTTGGGAGAAGAGACCAAGGTTCGAACCTCGGCAACGGTAGTATGGGGATTATGCCCAAAGTCGCAGATCCCTTGTGCGCACCGACATTTGGCCCTGTCTGCTGAGCCATTGAGTTACCGTGATTTACATCCTCCCACATGGTATACTTTGTCCAGGAGTTAGAGCATTGCATAATGCCTGGATTAGTTATGTGAGTTTGGGGTCGAAACGAGATAAAAATGTTTAAATTAGTCATCGAACTACAGGCAAAAATGTAATTGGCCATTTAATTTTTTTTTTAAAAAGTATAATTATGTCTTTGAACTGTCCAAAGTCACGCTATTCAACCAAAATTGACCTATTTTTCTAGTTATTAACCAAAATTGACATATTTTTCTAGTTATTACTGACTTGACGATCATCATATTAAAAAAATATTTTAAAAAGTATTTTAATAATTTTAAATAAAATAAAAAAGGGATGGTGGTTTTTTTATACTCCATATTATTTAAAATTATTAAAATAAATTTTTAAAAATAAAATTTTAATAAAATGATCGTCACATCAATGATAATAAAAAAACAGATATTGCATAATAATTTTAAATAAGGCTCAATTATTAAAAAAAAGGGCTCAATTATATTTTTTTAATTGAATGGCCTAATTATATTTTGCATATAATTTAGTAGCTAATTTGAACATTGTTTGTTACAAAGAATAAAGTCCCATTCATGCTCATTCTCTAGACACCAATGTTATGAGTGCAATAAATCCAAAAGCCCGTTACTGTCTTACTGAGCGCTTTCACCCATAATGCTTCCCTTTAAAATCCGAGACGAGAATCTCGTCGCTATATGCATACAAATCCCTATGAACGATTGATTTTCTGGGTTCTTTACTTCCTGAACTCGAGTCCACTTTGGTTGAAGACTTGCTCAAATTCATTCACCAATCCATCTGGTGTGCCTTTTTAAAATTAATTTACTTGTTACGCTTAATTATGAAATTTGCGTAGTTTTTTTTTTTTTTTTTTTTTTTTTTTTTTTTTTTTTTTGAATGCTATTGACTCTATTAGAATGTAGTATCTGTTCATACATACTTTCTCAACTTACTGAAGCACAAAGAGTCACTGCCTGCACTGGGGTTCGAACCTGAGACCCCTCTCATTTGAGGGGCCACAGCTATGCTGCTCAACCACAAGGTCTTTGGCTCTGTAACTCCGTGATTTCAATTTATATTGTATGTATATTTCCCCAATTTTTATCAATGATTCCACTATTACACTGCTCGGCTTCCAGTATGCTGTCATTGCCGGGTCTCTATATGACTGTAGTCTGTATATTTCCCCAATGTTTATCAATTTCTGTATAATCTATTAATGACCAGTATGCTGATTGTTGTGTCTCTGCTTCCAGTGACCAGTATGTTTATCTTTCTAGTATGTTTTTTCCCCAATGTTTATCATTCCAGTATGTTTATGTCTCTGTATGTTTATTTAATTATTTCCCCAATGTTTATCATTCCAATATGCCCTTAATGTCTATATGCTATAAATTAATGATATGAATATATATATATATATATATATATATATATATATATATATATTTTTGGTAGTCACGAAGTGTCAAGTACACAAGCTCGTATTCAAGTTACACTGCTATTCATTGAAATTTGCCCCCACTAACTAGTAGTCCCTTGTTCGCCACTGCCTCTGGCGCTCTCCCTCCTTGCCCGCTTAATATGTTTTTTTTTTTTTTTTTTTTTAAACACCTTTTCCTCTTAATTTTATGGAGTATATGCCATCAGTTTCTATGTAAGTTCATATTTTAGTGTTATTTATAATTTTCAATTTCGTTGGTGTAATTCTTTGAGGGAGGCTTTATATTACGGAGTATATTTTTAATCTGTTAACGTTTTCTATTTTCCACCATAGATGAGTTGAAATTGATTGTTAAGGATTTTGCTTTAATTATTCAAATATTTGAGGAACAAATAGAGATGATTGGGGTTAAATTCTCTCATTGAATTTTCATTTTTAGCTAGAACCATGTTTTTTTTTTTTTTTTTAAACTCATTTTTCTTATTTGTATCATAACTTCATAAGTGATTGGTTTGTGAAAACTTGAATTGTGATTATCCCCATACTTTACTCTGTTCTAGACTCTAGAGATGGCTACTGATTTTGAATAGTGAACTGAAATTACTAGAATGACAAGTAAGAAATTTTTAGCTTATGTTTTAAGTTTTGTGCTCACTCAAGTGCAAAAGAGGGGTCTCAGATGTGCAGTGTTCAACTATTTTGAATGGGGTGTTGATTGGGGCTGGGGATTCCCTGCAGGGACAGGGATGCAAGGGTGGGGAATAGGGGTCAGGGACGGGAATATCCCATTCCTCGCCCTGTGACCACCCCTACTCAATTCTCCTTGGTAGTGGACTTGGCATTGTGTATCATGCACTTTGAGGAGTTGATTTTTTTTTTTTTTTTTATAGAATTTGTTATTGTAATTTTCCACTTACATATTGGTATTATCAACTAACTTGAATAAGTAAGAATCCCAAACCGCTTAGTGTTTTGGTAGGCAAAGCATTGCTTCGCGGCCTGTTAATGATGGCTTCCATCCACTTCTTCACAATGTCTTTTGTGCTTGTTGCAAATAATTCCTAATATTTAAGACCAAATGCTTTGGTGGTATAAATACCTTTATCAATTGCTGATAGCATAAGGCTTCTATGTGTATGCAATAAGGCTTTCCAGTTAGATAGTTAATGTTACTGTTTATGAAGTTGAATTAGGATCTTATGGTATATTTATCAATCAAATCTTGCTTCTTTGTGGTATAACAGGAGGTGATCTATATGTTACCTAAAAGAGCACAAGTACCTTGATTTGGGCTTCTCTGACACTCTTCACAATGTCATTGGTGAAACCTTTAAAGAAGCTTGTTTCTTGTGTTATTCTTGATTTGGATGGTACACTTCTAAACACAGGTGATTTGTAACTCTTGCTATGTATGTATTGCTTGATAAATGAACAGACTAATTTCTGAGCCAGTAGACTAGAAATCATCCCTTTCCTTTTTAGGCATTTTTGTGATCCAAAATTAAACTGCACCAACCATAAAAGTTAAAAAATTTAAAATAATATTTATTTCGACCATATGATTTCCTGAACTCTCCTTCAATACCATTACATGTTCATGTGTTATATGCAGTATATTTTTGTCGTACGATGAATTTTCCATTCTACATGTTTTTCATCTACATCATTGCATTTTGTGTGGAATGCTTTATGTCAAATGATATACTAATGTGCTTGAAATTCATGTAGGGAGAATTGATTGACCATTTATTCCTGAGATTTTAAATGATCTACAATGCTAGACCTGAACATCTTTGATAAACTTTGAACATGACATAGTTATGTAGAACAACCTATCTGAAGTAACATATTCTGTACATGTGAGGTTTTACTTTCTTTTCCTTTTCTTTTGCTTTGTGAATACCAGTTTCAAATTGAACTTAATTTCCTGACAGATGGCATTGTGAGTGATGTTCTAAAGGTTGCCCTAGTTAATTATGGAAAGCAATGGGATGGCAGAGAAACTCATAAAATAGTAGGGAAGACACCTGTAGAAGCTGCAGCTGTGGTTGTTGAAGATTATGAGATTCCCTTAACAAAAGAAGAATTTCTTACACAAATTACTCCAATGTTTTCTGAGCGGTAATATATGTTAATGTTCTCTTGTTCTGAATAATGTACAGCCTTTTTTGAAGGTTTCATGTTCTTGGGCATAAAATCTATCATATTATTAGAAGGTTTCCAATTTCACTTGTCAACACAATTTAATTTTGACCAACATTTTAAAGCTTCTTTTTTTTTTTTTTTTTTGGTAATTTGAAGTTATGAATCTTGGGGCTACTAGAACTAAACATATAGTCTCCTAATATCTAATTTTTATTTTCAAAACTTAAACATAATTCAAAATTTAGTTTTATTTACCAATAAAACAGCAAACAAGATAAGTAAAGTGGGATGGAGGGAGTAATCATTATTTCTGATTCTAATTGTAGGTGGTCTAATATTAAAGCTCTTCCAGGTGCCAATCGATTGATTAATCATCTCAAAAGTCATGGTGTGCTAATGGCCTTGGCTTCTAATTCTCCGAAGTCAAACATAGAGACAAAAATTTCTTATCATCAAGGTAGTTGGCACTCAAACCTATTCTTTTTTTTGTCGGTCTGTCTCATAATTTAGGTAAATATAATGCAAATATGACACGTCAAGAATGTTGCATGAAATTGCTTATTTTAGAGTATGATTTACATACTATAGGTTGGAAGGAATCCTTCTTCGCCATTGTTGGAGGTGATGAAGTTACAGCTGGAAAGCCAAATCCTGAAATGTAAGATTGAATATAAAGATCTTTCTTATTCACATGCTTTACATGATATTCTCTTGTGGTAGCCTTATATATTGTGTTCTTCTCTTGTTTAAGTTTTCTTGAAGTAGCTAAAAGACTTGGTATAAATCCATCCAACTGTCTTGTCATTGAAGATTCATTGTGAGTATTCTATGATTTTTTTTTTGTGGATATGAATTTGATGCTAGTTAGGTGATAACCTGGAGTAATATACTACTTCAATTTTTTTATTTTATTTTATTTTATTTTTTATTTATGATATAACGTTTTCATAGTCAGAAAGTTTATTGCGGTAGCAATTATATCGAATAAAGCATACACTTCAAAAACAGCATCTTACAAAGTACCTGTGCATAATACTAATTAAGATATGACTTGTAGACTTTCAGGTTATGGCTTTGATCAATATTAATTAATCAACATATACCATAGTTTTCTTAATTTTATTTGTTGAATCAACAATAGAATTGCGGACTTTATAAACTACCAATAGCTAGACTGATTTCTAAATGGAATGATGCCTATGTCAGACCTGGTGTTACTGCTGGTAAGGCTGCTGAAATGGAAGTGGTTGCTGTACCATCCCTTCCTAAACAGTCTCATCTATTCACTTCGGCTGATGAGGTGATCAATTCACTTCTTGATTTGCATCCGGAAAAGTGGGGCCTGCCTGCATTTCAAGACTGTATGTGTTTCTTACCATTTTATGCATATTAAGTGATGGTTCAGTTTGTCATTTCTGACAATCAAACTTATGCAGGGGTGGCAGGAATTTTACCTATAGAAACTTGGCACATTGGTGGACCTGTCGTTAGAGGATTTGGTCGTGGCTCAAAGGTGCTTGGGATCCCAACAGGTGCCTAAACAAATTTACTAATTTCTGCTGAATCAACACTTGTCCTTTGGATATTAGTAGGATTTCCATAAAATTTTAGATGCTACTATCTTGTAAACTAGTCGGTAAAATTCATTGTTTACGGGCCTTGAAATATCATAGTTGATGGAGGGGGCATTGAGGATATTGGAGAATCCATTGCTAGATTTCTTTTCTTTTTTATTCATCAGCATCAGTATTAACAAGAAGTTACTTCCTTTCAAAAAAAAAAACAAAAAAAAACAAGAAGTTACTCTTATCATTTTTACTTATTATTTCAGCCAATTTATCCACAACTGGGTATTCAGACCTCCTTACGGAATATCCATCAGGCGTATATTTCGGGTGGGCTGGATTATCTAATCATGGTATATACAAAATGGTCATGAGCATCGGTTGGAACCCATACTTCAATAACACAGAGAAGACCATAGTGAGTGTGATATGTACATTACATACAAACAGAACTCTGATCTATACATACCTTTCCTCAGATCAGTTCATAATTCTCAAAAAATTTCTTGTTCTTTCAGGAGCCGTGGCTGCTACATGACTTTAGTGAGGACTTCTATGGGGAGGAATTGCATCTTGTAATCGTGGGCTATATACGGCCTGAGGTAGTACACATTAGCCTCTTTTTCGCGCCTTTTATCGTGTTTGTTATGGCAAATCTTGTTTATCAACTACTGCACATGACATTTCAGGCCAACTTTTCAACGCTTGAAAGCTTGATAGCAAAGATTCATGAGGATAGAAGAGTTGCAGAGAATGCCCTTGAGCTTCCTCTATACTCAAAGTACAGAGATGATCCCTACCTTAAGAGTCCTCTACTCCAGAACAATTTATGAATGTACGATAAGCAGAAAATAGTTGTGGGCATTTTTACAAATATAAATCACATTTAAAAAACTGCCCTTTATTTATCAAATTTATAAAAACCATTTTGGTGGTTCTCTATTTTTCAATCATTGTAGTGTAGACTAGGGTCTACCATATGCGTTGTGGATCTGGTCTAGATTATATATATGTAGTTAATGCATTATATGTACATTAGTTTATTTACCTATAGCTCATATATTATGAATTTAGAACAAGGGTAGATTTAAGAATATATGTACATAATATGTTGATACATAATATATTAATTTGTCTACGATATAATTTGCAATGATTTGCTGTGATTTACTTTTAGTGGCAGTGTAGGGTTCGAGGGGTTCAATCCATGCTATGAGGGTTTGTAATGGACTTCTTGTGCATAAAAGTGTATAGTTTAGTGTTAATTATTTTATACCGTGAAAACAATGTTTGAATGAGTGGAACATATTTCTTATACTTGAAGATCATAAATAATGTGGCTTTTAGACCTTGTGCACCAATGAATGTGGTACCTAAAGTTACGCTTGTTTGTAAAAATGTAATAATAGTTGTTTAGAAGAAATATAAAGATTTTTGGTGGGAGCATTTACGAAGTGTTAGAGTATGAGAGTGAATTATGAAATGTTTGGTAAGTGGTTGAATAGTGGAGTCTCTCTCAGTGATGAAATTGGGTTGGTTAGGTAGACTTAAGCTGTGGGCATGACGCCTTCTTTATCGTATGATGACTCGGAGCTGAACGTTCTAAGCGAATAAGTCTACCCTCCGTACTAAGTACTAACCGACATTTTAAGAAAACATTATTTGTATTAGAGTTATACTAGTTTTATGTTGATTTAATGCACAATGTTTATATTTAAATAAGTAATTCAAAGTATATCAATTGAGAAGTTAATTATAATTATTAAAATTAATGTTTAATTTGTAATTTTTAAAAATAATTATCTAAATGCTTATTGTAATTGGTATGGTAATACACTATAACATATTCATAGTATATGTTCAACAATTATGCCAACTCTAATTGTGATGTGATTTGAACCTAAGACTTTCCTAATGGAAATCAATGAATAAGTTAAGAATAATAAATAATTAACGGAATATTCTGTTACTAATGTTTATACTAACAGAATGCATGAGTATTTAAAGAAAGAAAATCATATAATAAAGGGTAAAATAGGAAAATAAAAAGTAATTTGAACCATTCATTTCATATAATTGGACGGACATATTTTTTGTTCCGTTATAAACCTAGCTTTATTGACTCTTATTACTATATATATATATATATATATATATATATAGATAGATAGAATAGGTTATCACTTTTAGTTACCTGACTATTGTTCACTTCTTATATTGACTTTTCAACTATTAATTTTGTCATATTATGTGTACAAGTATAATTTTATTGTTATATTTAATTATGTAGCAAATTATAGTAATATTATTGTATATTTAGATTTGAATGGATAATATTTCTCATATAACAACCCCATATTAGAGAAAATTTACACTTTTTTTTTTTTTTGAATTTGATCGACAAGATTAAATGTGGCAACAAAAGCATATTTGTGCACCAAATTTGACAAATTTAATAGTTGAGAATCAAATGTGGAAAGTAAATAATAATTGACGGATCAAAAGTGGCAATATCTTGTCTTTATTATCAATTTTCAATTAAAATCTTTTTAAAAATGACAATAAGAACAAATACAAAGTAATTGTTTTAGAAGAAATTACTGAAAATATATAATTTCATCAAGTAAAATAGATAACCATGTTTACTTCGGTTTTTCAATTTTCTAAATTCATTTTCAAAACTCAATTCAGGAATTATAAACACAGATTCGGACAAGAGAAAGTTGAAGACGGTGTTAGAGAAAAAACTTACGAAAAAAAGAAATTAAAAATATTGTTGACTTATTGTTAAGGTTCGATAGAAGGTCTTTTCAAAAAATATTGTTGATTTGTTGTTAAGGTTCGATAGAAGGTCTTTTCAACCATTTCCTCGCTTCTTTAAATTGGATATCATGTCTAACTTTTCTCCATTTTTTTTTTTTTTTGTTTTTTTTTTTTAAAATGAAGAACATTAAGATGCTTTTAAAGTCTCTTTATTTTAATAATTGGTGATCACATTATGCATAAAATTATTTCATACTCTAGATAACAACTTTTTTTTGGGTAACCTGCTATCCTATTATGGATGATTATTTTTATTTACTATGATGAGCTAGAAGGATTAACTATAGATGGAAAACAAGTTGCTTGAAATCTAATCATTCAATTATTTATATTGACAATTATTTAAATCATTTCAAATGTTATAGTTGATGTCTTGACTTTTGATGTGATTTTGCAAAAACATATTGTTATGTCCTCTCTCCAAACACTGCTTGTACACAAATTGATCAAATAGGGGAATCTTTGTCCTCTTATCCCCTTGTACCCTCTTTCATTTTGCCAAAATTCCTCCAAAGAAAAAAAAAATGGATAAGAGCATCTTTCAAATGGTATCAATTCCACAACGCCATACCTACACCTTTATGTCTTTAACATTATATAGTCACTACACAATGATGAGTTGTTTGTGTCTGTTGGTGTGGTTCTTTGAGAATATATATTGATGATTTTCATCACTATTGAGTTGGACCATACAAATTCATCATGCCCATTTGTTACCCACATTGCATGAGATTCCACACACAACTTGTAAGCTCTCCACGATTATTTATTTTCAAATAATGTTACACATATGTTATCATATTACATTGGTATCCGCATATCATATATATCGAATAAATATAATTCAATTATTTCGAGAGGGGTGGACGAGTGGGTGTAATATGATTCTCATATGAAAAGGTCATGAGTTCAATTCTTACTAATGCTCTCTAGTCGAGACCTTATTATCCAGTATAGTAGTTATATATTTCTATCGTTCGATAAATTAGCTCTATTTGGAGACAATGTAACAAGAGTTTTATTCTTTAAAATCTACTTGTTATTTTCCTTTTTGTATCAAAAAAAATGCTAAGTATTTTTATGTGTTCTTCATTGATGGGACGAAATAGTAAAAACTAATTAAATGGTGAATGCAACCACTATTTGAGATTATATATAGCATGAATAAATATCGCTCCTGTATAATAATCTGCAGCCCATACAAGAGAAGTAAACTTCATTATAAAAACCATGGACAATTGAATTGACTAATAAAATATTAACAATAATCAAACTCGTAACTGCAGTTGCAAAAATCGAGCCTAGGCGCTAGGCGGTTGGCCACCTAGGCGCCCGCCTAGGCGCTTTAGGCGCTGATTAATCGCTCTAGGCGCCCTAGACGGTCCCCAGGCGCCTAGAGGGCGCCTAGCGATTTTTTTAACCTTGCAGTAGTCGTAACTGTTATAAATATTATAATTATTGTGAAGATTATAATTACTTTTGTAACATTTGTAACAACTATGTAATTATTTATCATTAATTCACTCCATAATACCTTGTATATATATAATCTTGTTTTGGAATGAAATGGTAAAGATGAACATTGTCATCCTTTCTTGTTCTTTAATTTTATCTACTCCTTCTCTGCAATTCTTTTTGATCTATCGTATTTGAACTAACGGACATTCTAATTATAAGAGTAACCTTCTAATACAAAAAACATGCTTCACTAATTTATAACCCATTTCAAGGCAGGCGAGAGCATTTGTTGGTCATCATTTTATACACTTTTTCCCATCTTCACGCAAGCTCTTCGGGCAGTATTTAATGCTGCTAGCAAGCAGATTCTATTATTAGTTCAACTTAGTATTATATCTATGATCATGAATTTGACGCAAAATTTTTTTCTTTTTTTCTTTTTAGATCGTAGCTAGGTGAAAGTGTCAATTTAGTACAAGATTTTTGAATTTCCAATTTAGATAATAAGGTGATTTTAGTTATATCCAAAAATAGTATTCAAACATTAGTTTTTTTTTTTTTGAAAGTATTCAAACATTAGTTTGAGTTTAAAGAATTTAATTATTATAAACTTATGAGGAAATGTAGTGTTACCTTTGAAGTCTTACTTAATACAAATAGTATTAGTTTTGTGATCTTAATTGTTGAAGTATTCATATAATGTTATTCAATACTCCACATTATATATTGAAAGACGATCATATATTCAGCATAAATGCTTATATTATATTGTATATGATAAAAAAAAATTATTTATTTTTATAATTCATATTTTCCTTTTTCGTCAAATTATATTATAAACCTCATGAATTTCAGACCTATAAAAAATAAAATCGAGTTTTAATACTCAACATTAAATTATACATTCCTGAACACAAAAAAACTCAATCAAATCTAAACTTCTGATATTTGTAGTAGGAATTAAATTACACCCAATCACAAGAAATAAGTCTAAAATGAAATTTGTTATCCACTAACATACATAATCCATACTTAAAAGGAAAGAAAAAAAAAAAAAGTATCAGGATTGGCGCCAATTGCATTGGAAGAATTTTCTCAATAGTAGCAGTGTGAATTACATTTAAAGTGTACAGATTCTTTGTGCTCTCGGTATTTGGTCCTGTCTACTGAGTCATTGAGTCACAGTAATTTACATCCTTTTAAATACTCTTTTGGACTAGAATGTGAGGACTTTGAGATTGAGGATTTAACTTTTTGAAAGAAGAATTTTTGAGAAAGAAAATTAAATTATTAAAATGGTGACAATTACCCAGGAAAAGGGCTAACGGGTTATGCCCGGCAGTGGTCGTTATTTCGCGTAGCCCACCAAAACCCCACGGCCCCCACCACTTCGTAACCACCGCTGCCACAACCCATCACTCCACCACGCTGACTCTGACGCCGCTCTGCCTACGTGGCAAAATCCGCACCCTTAATCTCGAACCTTCACATAATCCTTACACCGAACACCCCATACTTTCCATAATTTCACCTAAGTCCCCTCTCTCTTTCTTAATTTTCAACTCTCTGTCATCACCCGTCATCAATGGCAGCACACCAAAAAAAACAAAAGAAAAGCATGAAAAGTTGTTTATTAATGGGCTGTCTGTATCTTAACCACTCTAACTTATCTTAAGCCATAGCTACAAATGAATACGTATGCGTATATGTATGACACACGAGGATGGTTGTGATATGTATTTATTGATTGAGCTTGAAACTCACGCCATTTGAGAAATTCGATTTTGAGTGCAGCAAACATGTCTCGGGTCAACGGGTCAAGGCCGTCGTGGGGGGAGGGTTTCGCCGGAGTAGGCGGTGATGCCGGAGTTGGGTACAATTCTACTTACTACGCCACCGCCGGCCCGGGTGGAAGCGGGATGGGAGCAACGGCGGCGGAGCCTGGTAGCAGCGGCGGAGACTATTGGAGGTTCCAAGTGGTGGAGTTCGCCAAGGGGTTTGCGGAGATGAGTGTGGAGTTCGGGAAGGGAGTTAGGGATGTGGTGATGCAGACGGTGGCGACAGAGGACTCTGTGATCGCGAAGAAGCTTCGAGGTCCGTGCGGGAAAATTTGCAGGAAATTGAGATTCCTGAATGAATACTTACCGGAGGATCGCGATCCAGTTCATTCCTGGAGTGTGATTTTCTTCGTCGCCATTATTGCTTTTGCAGGTACTCTCCAATTCTCTGGAATGTTCATATTTAAGTCGGTTTTAACTGCTGATGTATATATATGTATATATTTTTACTTTATTACCACGGCTAGTGAAAATAAGTTAATACGACTTTCCTCAAATAGTTTTCTTCTAATGTTCTTAACTACTTGGGAGTTCATAGTGCTGATCATTACTTCATGAACAAAATATATAGAAATTTCACATAATCACATCTTCAAGGATGATTTCTTTTATTAGTGTTGAATTGTGAACATTGGAGGTTCCAAGTGTTGTAGCTATTATTATTATTAGTAAAATAATTTGTTTGTTCTTCAACATGAATTCCTGAAACACATACAAATATACAATACACAATCTCCTGTTTTACATGCATATGGTTACTGATCTGCAGCATTGATTGTGAATAACGATGCTGATACAACATCGGCTCTGGTAAAGAAAGTGAATATACATCCTCCTAGTGCAAGTCGAATTTTGCTTCCAGATGGTAGATATTTGGCTTATCAGGAACAAGGTGTTCCAGCTGATCAAGCCAGATTTTCGGTGGTTGCTGCACATTCTTTTCTTTCATCCAGGCTTGCGGGTATGATTTTTAATATCTCTACAACTGTGTTAATTGTTAATCAATTGTACACATGTTATTGATATGTTTTAATTGTGTTTCGTTTCCAAACAGGAATACCTGGCATCAAGGTTTCACTACTGCAACAATTTGGTGTTCGCTTGGTGACATATGACCTTCCTGGATTTGGAGAAAGTGATCCTCATCCCAATAGGAACCTCGAGTCATCAGCAATGGATATGTTACACTTATCATATGCTGTGAATATTACGGGCAAATTCTGGGTGGTAGGGTTCTCTAGTGGAAGCCTGCATTCCTGGGCTGCACTTCGATATATTCCTGATAGGGTTGCTGGTAAGTAAAATGTCTTTACTTTCACTGTGAATTGAACATGAAAGTCCTAGATTTATTTTATGCATCTAAATTAGACCACCAAGGCAGCAATGATTTTGAAGTTGTGCCTCGGCTAGGTGATTTCCAATGAGTTGAGAAGAACATAAATCTTCAACAAATCAGTAAAATAACACAATATACTAAAATGATTGGTTGTGCTACTGCGTTTTATTTTGCTACTCATAATTTGCTGCATTGTTCATTCTGTTTCATTAAGATAAAATGAAGACATAGATTATATTCTCATTTGCTCTTCATTTTCATATCCTTATTCATTAAATTTGCAGGTGCATTCATGGTTGCTCCAGTGGTTAGTCCATATGAACCAAGTATGACAAAGCAGGAGAGAAATAGAATGTGGAAGAAATGGGCGATGAGGAAGAAATTTATGTATATACTAGCTCAAAAATTTCCCAGGCTACTCCCTTTCTTCTATCGTAGAGCCTTCCTGTCTGGAATCCATGGTCCAATAGATGAGCGACTTTCATTGTCACTAGGAACAAGAGTAAGCCAGCTGATACTTTACCGCAATGCTATACCGGCTTATTTACCTACAACATCTTAACATTACCATCCCTAGATTATTGAATTTCATGTAAAACTAAAAGAAATTGAAACAACAATCATCAAAAGAATCTCAAAATGAAAGCTGGTTGAAATTTTGATGTAGTTCACTACACTATTGTTAAACAGAGTCTAATGCTAGTGCACTTATTTCTTTGACTCATTATGCCTTTGTTGGTGACAATGATGAATTCTATAGGATAGAGCTTTGATAGAGAGCCCATTGTTTGAAGAGTTCTGGCAGAGAGATGTCGAAGAATCTGTCCGACAGAAAAATGTAAAACCTCTTGTAGAGGAAGCTGCCTTACAGGTTTCAAACTGGGGATTCAGCCTTGCAGATCTCAAAGTGCATAGGAAGCCCCTGGGTAAAGGCATACTTAAGTGGCTTAAATCTTTATATGGTCAAGCTGAAGAAAGTTTGAGTGGATTTCTTGGCCCAATACATATATGGCTGGTCAGTATTACTCCATACTACCTTTTTCAAACCTCATTTAGCATTCCCTCAAATAAGGTCATTTTTTGTTTACTTTTTAATTCAAATCTCCTGTCAAGAAAACATATAATGGGTGCATTCATTTCAAAGACTATTTGATCTTTTTGAGTTTACTTGCTCCATCCTGGCATTTAATTTTAGTCAAAGTTTATTGATTTTATTTAACTCCTTTACACAATCAAAACATGTCTACAATTTTTTCAGCACTAGAGGCAATAACTAGCTAGGCCAGTCAAAGATTTTCATTTTAACTGATATGTAGCCCTCCCATGTATAAAACTATTTGATGAATGGAAGTTGGAAGTATCCTAGGGGTAACGCCTTGGGTCGAAATACAATCTTCCCTATGGACTGTTGTACTGAAAGAGTATAGGCCTCCCATGTATTCCAAGGAAATAAAAAATCTAGTAAGCCTACTTCTCGGTGTTACAGATATTGTATATATTACTATTGCGTGAGACACCCAAAAGATTTTAATTTTTTACACTTAAACGGGCAGCCAAATGTGTGCTAATGTTGGGTGTATTTTCTTAATAAGCAGATCTCTCTCTCTCTCTCTCTATCTATCTGTCTGATAAATATCGTTTTCAATTCTGTGTTCTTTGGTTCACCTGATGCATATTCATACTAATTAGGACAAAACGTTTTTTAACATTTTCCTGCATCTTCAATTTTCGAATGTTACTAGGGAATGGAAGATATGGTGGTGCCTCCATCCACAAGTGTTTTTTTGCAGCGAGTTCTACCAGATGCCATGGTGCACAAACTCCTATACGAGGGTCACTTCACCTATTTCTACTTCTGTAATGAATGCCATAGACAGATATTTACCACCATTTTTGGAGATCCTCAAGGCCCTCTCATCCCTGAAGTAGTTCAAACTCCCATCAACGAAGAAAGTCCAATCAACGAGGATGACGAAGAGACAGACAACATAGTTTCTGGAGAAATAGCCACAGATGCAGAGATTGTTTCTAATCCAGTATGACGCTTCCGATACAGTTATACAGATATGCTACAACATCCCACCCTGCAGATCCTGCCACTATTTGCAACTCTCATCCATATATCTATGTGGATAATTAGGCAGTAAGACAGGATACACTTAGAAGACTACAGGAGATAAAATAATATTCATGGCCAATATTTTATGTATAGTAGTATCTATATAATATATATGCTTAATTACATGATTATCATAGCCATAGGAAGATCATGAGCCTAGATTCAATCATGGTCTCAGAGATTAGTTGCAAGAATGTTGCCTTCAGGAAAGAAAATTAAAAGGTTTTCGAGATCAGTTGCTTCATTTTCAATGGCACTGGCATTTTTATTTCACAGTTGAAGGTCCCAAGTAGCATGCATTTGTACGTTGTTTATGCATTAATTAATTAAATGACGAGAAAAATATTCAGTGTCCGCGAGGATTTAGTTTAATGGTTCAGTAGGCCGTATTTAGAATAAGAGATTAAGATTTGATATCGGCGGCGGTAATGTGGGGATTATGTCCAAAGTAGACAGATCTCTTGTGCACACCAACATTTGATCATGTCTGCTGAGTCATTAAGTCGCTGTAATTTATGTTTTCTAAAATGCACTCTCTTATCGAGATGTAAGGGGCCCTTAGGGTTGGAGTCTTGGAGATTCAACCTGTAGGGAGAAGAAGTGAAAAATATTTAATGGTATGTATCAGATATTTTCTCTTGGTTAGATATTAACTTTTATTTTTAATAAATAATGCGGCAGAATGTGATTTAATACTGGTGTATAGTACATATATAACATGGATAATGCATTAAATACTTTTTTATATATGCCTGTGAATTAACTGATATCATCATAAAGTAATAAAATATTAATCACATTAGTCAATAAATTTGTCTAGAAGTTCAATATTTAATGAATTTAAATATAATAATGTTTGTTTAATAAGGTTGATATTTAGTAAAGTTAAGTTAAATAAATGTAATATTTAATAACTATATATTATAATAAAATAAAGAGAGAAAAAAAACACGAAAATTTTATGAAATAAAAAGGAAAAAAAAGTATAGGTTATGAACTGCAAAACTGTTTTTAATAAATGTATTACATGTTTTGCGTTAAGTTAATGGTTTGTAGCCATCGTTGACTATAAATTTTTTTATTTATAAATATTAAAAAAAAAATAGTGTACCAGTTTATGTGTTATTTATTTATAGAAAAATTGACACTTTTGTCCCTTAAATCATATGCTTATAGCATTTTTTTTCATGAACTAGTAGTTGCACTCGTGCGATGCATGGCCATATGTATAGTTTATGTAATATACATTATGTACTAAAGCTTATGTAATGTAATAAAAGAAAAATCTCCACAAAATCGAAATTTGATTAAACATTGTAGGACCACGGACTTTATTCAACAAACATCTTAAATAAAAGATTTCCCCGGTGGCAGGTGGGACATAAAAAATCCTTTCTATTGCGAAACCTTTTTTCCTTGGCTGCCATTTTCTAAGTTGTTTCTTCCACACGAATTTCGTTGGCATCTCAACATAAGTCATCTTTCTTGCCTCTGGGAATGTCTTATTAGCCTCAAACCATTCCAAGAAGTTTTGTGCTATAGTTGGTCTATTAACAATGTTCTCAACTGGATCGTCATTGGCAAAAACCACACTTTGTTGATTGGGTAGGTGAAAGTTTAACCTTTCCACTGAGGGAGCCCTAAGTTGTATATCAAAATCAAACAACCGCCAGACCGCTTCATAGGGTGATATGTACCTACAGTTATAGTACATATTAATCTCATCTATGGATTTTCCAAAATCTGAACCATTGCTGGTTTTGTAGAACTCGGCTGTTACCCTATCGTGTCCCTTATTGACATATTTGAAAAGGTACTTGATTGAACGGGACTGGTTTCACCACTCAACATTTATATGAGCCTTGTATTTAAGCAATAAATGTCTATTGTGCGGTACAACATACCTGTTGTCCAAGGCAATGCCATTCTTTGTAATTGCCCTCCCATTTTCCCGACGTCTATATAAGGGATATCCATCATCATCAAAAGTAGAACAATCAACAAATGTCTTGGGAAAATGTTTTGAACATCTTCATTTGACCATACACGGAAAATTCAACCTTGCTTTTCCACATGACCCATGCATCATAAATTCCTCAACATCTTTGTAATATTCTACATCTGTATTTTCATCAGGTATCTCAGCTGAAATGATTTTGTCCAAAGCACCAACTTCCCTAACTTCATTTCTTTTTTCCAAAAACAGCAATATATGAGCATGCTGAAGACCTCTTTTTTGGAACTCAATGGTATATATAACTGGCAAAAAAAAAAAAGATAAAGTTAAGCAGGAACAATCTTATGACGTTAGGATAAGTAAAAAAAAAAAAAAAAATAGGGGTTTACCTCCTGCAACAGATCCAAACAGTTTTTTCTTTCTACAATAAGCTATCAACGAATCTAGCTTCATCTTAAACAACCTGCAAATTATGTCAGCACGGTCTTCTAATTTCAAACTTCGGTCATGCAGGAAACGTTGCACCTCAAGCCACTTTGGGTTGCATGTAAAAGTTATAAATAAATTTGGATATCCAATCCATCGACATATAGCCATCGCATCCTAGTAGTTTTGTATGTACCTTGATCCGCCTGTAAAACTCGACGGTAGTATTATCCTACGCCCCTGCGTTGCTGGATTTATTTCTCCCCTAGTTAAAGCATTGGTCAGTCCACTATCTGATTTACACCGTAAGCTTTTTTGGTGTGTCCTTATATAAATGAGTTGTCCTGACTCAACCATTGTGTATCCATCAACAACGAATTGTTGAAATAACCGCTTGGCATGTAGTATTGTACTGGCCACCGAATTTCTTGTTTGTATGCGATAGCAAAACAATTCTCTTAGACTAATCCTTTGTCTGCCACCACCACCGACGTTGCATTTTATGTTAGAGAAGGCAATGTCTTCCCTATAACCATCTTCACCATATGGAAACAACAATGGCTATTGAAGTGGCAAGTAGGAAGGGTTTAATTCACTTATTCTTTGTAATTGGCTACTCTTAGTTTGAATGACAATATCACGCTCACCAATACTAGTATCAAGATCTCTGACTATTAATGCAGCTACCTCAGACACTTGAGGTAAATTGTATGTCCTTGCATCTTTCTTGCGCTTGCCTAGCAATTTGATCTTGACTTCAACGCATGAATTTCTATCCATTTCTGCTTTAGCCATACGAAATGACTTAACCAAAACATTATTTTTATCCAACTCACTGTGAATGACATTTACTATTTCTATATGAATGTCATCTTGCTCAGAACCATCCCTACATTAATAAAAAAAAATAGTTTTTTTATATAATGGGTTTAAACAAAAACATAATAACATAAGTAACCAAAGATTTTGTTTACGTCACAACATTGATACGGTTAATTTGTTCATTGCTTGTGTCGTATATGTACAGTTGGGCAAAATGGGGTGACTTGCCTTCTTCTGGAAGTAGACTCCCCATTAAATGATAATTTTGTCCATTTAATCTGATTACAGGAGGTTCGCCTCCCTTGTTCACGCTTCTATCAATCCTACCTCTCATGGATGTGAAGCAAAACATGTTGTTGTACGTTCTGATGTTCTGTAAGAATTTTCTGGATAGTTCACAATTGCCGAAAAAAAGATCGATGATACCTTTGGGTGGTAAGAGTAATGTGGGCAACGTAATCTTCCCATTGTTGCAGCACATGGAAAACCGAGGTGATCCTTTAGTGACTGTCTTATTTTGTCTCTCCTCAAACCAGAATAACGCACCACAATGCTCACAACTATTTGTTGCATCCCCCAAATCACAATACTCCACTGCATTAAAAAGAATTTTTAGTAGGCACTATTAAGTATTCGCAACAACCACAACTATTATATTGTGCTACGTACCATTAGAAACCGTAGGTGTGGTAGCAATATCGTTGTTTTGTAATTTTTTGTCAACATTTCTAACCAAACTTGTAGCCATAATAGTTCCTTGTGTAGGCAATTGAACAGCTGATAGACAAAATTTTGTGAAAAATTGAATTATACGTATAATAAATGTCTCTACAAAAGCATACGAGCTAATTCCAGCAATGGTCCTCCGACTATGTTGATTTTCCATAATTGGTCCTCGAGTTTTAATTTGGACAATTTAGACACTTGACTTTCGAAATCTTTCTAATGTTGGTTATTCCGTTAGATGAAAGTTAAGTGAAAGTTAGTTTGAGGGGGTAAAGTAGTAATTTCACCTGTTTAGATTAAAATTCATGATCGCCATTCTCCCTTCCATCATTGTATCATTGTATACGGGACATGGCCCTAAATTCACTCTGTATATGCAGGGTGGATTTGCCAGCAGTGCAGAAAAATTGATGTGGATACGCAAATCACTAGCATGAGAACTTGGCTACGATACAGGGAAATCCGAGCATAAGGAGTCCAAATCTCTGCCAAAATAAAATCAGGAGTTTGGAGTCCGATTTTCAGTTTTCATATCCGGATATTTAGGCTAGGCGAGAGAGGTTGTAGCGAAATCGAAGACTTCAACTATTCTATGCAGATTTTGAGGCGAGATTTGATGGTTGAGAGGATGTGTCAGCATTTAATTTTTTTTTTCTATGTCAGCCGAGTGCGACTTTTGAGAAAAGGGAGAGAATCAATTATTTTTTTTTTAATTTTTTAATTTTTTAATTTTTTGCAGAAGAGTGTTGGCTTCCCAATGAAATTTTTGTTCCCAATGTGAGAGAATAAATTCCATCCATCTTCCCCCACTTCACCCATAAATCTGAGAGTTCTTTACCTTTCATCTTAGCATAAACCTCACATACAACGACAGAAATTGTGGAATCAAGTGAGAATAAAAAATTGTTCTCTCTTCCCATTTCGGACGCCATTTGTGTCATAAATTATTTCTGTTATCTTCAAAGCTTCTTCCCATTGAAAAATCAAGTGAGAATCAACACAACATCTTCCCAAGCTTTCCTTTATCTACACTTGTGCATATTGAGGTAAAAAAAAAAAATTATATTTCAGTTACTAGAATTATTATTTTTCGTCGTAATTTTTTTAAATGTGGTGTATATATTTTTTGTTGTTAAACAAAAAAAACGAAAAGAGGATGTTAGTTGTTTAACAAATGAATAGATCACCCGTTTATTGTTTAAAAAAAATATCAAGGTAGTGGTAATTAAAAAAAAAATCGGGTTTCTCAAGTCTGATTAAAATGTTTAAAAAATATATATATTTTAAATGCAGTTTATATATATTTTTGATGTTTAAATGCAGTTATTATTTATTTATTTGTTAAGTTAGAATTAATTTTTTCGATTTGAGTATATTATTATAATTTAAACGGGACTGATGAAGTCCGAACCAAAAAAAAAAAAAAAAAATCGGAGTGTATAATTATATATGTTCAATGTCATATAAATATGTAAAAAGAAAACGTAAGCGTAGGTAAAATCTCAAAAAATATTTTATTTATGCACTTGAAAAATGAATATTGGTACAACGCATGTTATAATAGGTGTATTGTGTATTTTTCATCATAAACCAACCAACTATATACAACACAAGTATTTTATTTCTTAGATGTTTAAAACATATATATATATATATATATATATATATATATATTAAATGCAGTTTATATGTATTTTTTGATGTTTAAATGCAGTTGTTATTTATGTATTTGTTAAGTCAGTTTTTTTTTCGATTTGCCAATTATAATTTTAACCGAAGTGTGGAAGTCCGAATAAAAAAAAAAAAAAATCGGACTGTGCAAGTCCGATTTAGCACAGTCCGAAATGGTGTTTCGGACTTTTGAAGTCCGATTTAAAAGTTTTTGGCTTCATTAAACTTGTTGAATTTTTTTTTTTTTTGGGTAATTGAAAGGATTATCAACAATTACGTTGATAAATGTTTTTTTTTGGAATAAGGGTCAAATAGGTCATCCAACTGCACACAATAATGCAATTAGACCACTGAACTTAAAAAAACAACAATTAAGTCACTAAACTAATTAATTTCTTTCAATTAGTCTAATTTACAGGTTAGTAACAGGTCACCCAAAAATTTTAAAATAATTTTTTAAAAATTTATTATTTAAAAATAATAAATTAACATATATTAAAAAAAAAAAAACGTTTCTTCGTCTTCGGCGGCCATGGAGACGAAGAAACTTTCTTCGTCTCCATGGCCGGATACGAAGAAACGTTTTTATTTTTAAAATATATTTTAATTTATTATTTTTAAAAAATATTTTAAATTTTTGGGTGACCTGTTACTAACCTGTAAAACCTGTAAATTAGACTAATTGAAAGAAATTGGTTAGTTCAATGGCCTAATTGTTGTTTTTTTAGGTTCAATGGCCTAATTGCATTATTGTGTGCAGTTCAATGGCCTATTTGACTCTTATTCCTTTTTTTTTTTTTAAAATGACGTTAGGTCTTAAAAAATGCATTAAGTAGATTCAGCTTATTATTTTCATAATTTAGACATATTTGTATTAAAATTTGGACAGTAATTTAAACAACAATTACATACATAATTTAGACACAATTTAGATTTATTATTATAATCGGAAGTAGAAGTCCGGATATAAAAAAAATACACTTGCTACTTTCGGACTGATGTAGACTGTTGTAGTCCGTAAAAAAATATATATATGGCGTCGAGACTGTTTTAGTCCGATTTTTTGAGTTATTCGAATTTAAATGTTTTTAATCTCTGAACTTGTTATTCGAACTTGTTTAAATGTTTTTAATTTTTAAGTATTATGATTTGTTTTGATACAGTTATGGCAAATGACCGAGTGCATCCCGGGCCACTAGAGTCAGGTGCGCTAGCATTTCAAACCCGTCACCGTAGTAGAGCAATTTGGACGGATCCAACCTATAACGTCCAACTCAAAGCTGTGAAATATGATACGTTAACGAGGTGTGCAGCCGTGGATGATGAAAGAGTGAAAGAGTGGCTGCGTAGAGTCAGGTGCGCTAGCATTTCAAACCCGTCACCGTAGTAGAGCAATTTGGACGGATCCAACCTATAACGTCCAACTCAAAGCTGTGAAATATGATACGTTAACGAGGTGTGCAGCCGTGGATGATGAAAGAGTGAAAGAGTGGCTGCGTATATCTGGTTTTTATGGTGTTTCTCAGCTCACCAAAATACAGTTGGATCATGGGCTTATTACTGCCCTTTTAGAGCGATGGAGGCAGGAGGTCCACGCTTTCCACATGCCCTTCAGTGAGGTTGGAATAACTCTTCAAGATGTAGAAGTGTTATTCGGCCTTAAGGTCGATGGACTTTTAGTGACGGGGCATGATACAATTGGCACTACGGCACAAGTAAAGTTAATGTGCCTTGAGTTGCTGGGTTTGAGCCTGCCAATCAGTTCCTGACAACGACCATGATTCACGGGTCAGTTGTCCCGGAGGTTCAGGCTCTTACTGCGGAGAGCGGAGAACACGATGTGTTGTTGGTAACACGACGTTTAATATTTCATTTATTAAACGGTTTTTTATTTCCCGACTCAACTAAAGGGAAATATAAACTATACTTGCTCCCTTACATTAGTAATCTGTACGTTTGTGACGAATATTGCTGGGGTTCGGCTGTTCTGGGATATCTTTACAGGGCGTTGTGTAGAGCTTCCGAACACAACAAACGTACAATCTAGGGGTGTCTTCTTCTAGTTCAGATTTGGGCATGGGAGAGGCTGCCTATGTTTAGGCCTAGAGGTGTATTGCCGAGCGACCAAATCGCTGACTACCCTATTGCATACAGGTAACGATATCTAAATTGGCTGCATCAATGTTTTAATATTGAAGTAGTAGTATTTATTTACTTTGAAATTGTTGTAGGTGGGTTTGTCGGCATTCTTGGTTAGCAGTGCCTACGCACATTGTCGTAGCCTATCGCGATCAATTAGATCGCCTAGCTGAACATAGAGTAAGTAATTTGACGACTATGAATACTTTTACTTCGAATATTATTATAGTCAGTTCATATTTTATACACTGCGTATTTTATGTTAACATCGTGAGATTAATATTTTCTATGCAGTTTGGTTTCACCCCTTACGATGACCATCTCGATGCCTTGCCCCCTATTGCAAAGCGGGGAGGATTTTGTGGACTGTCCATATTCTGCTTATTTTTTACCATGTGGTAGAATATCACCAGCCTGACCGGTTCTGCAGGCAATTCAATGGTTTGCAGGTTGTGCCAGTAGACGTGGTATACAACCAACGGTTGCACGATATGGACCAACGGGGTAAGTCTGGAACTAATTGGTTACAGAAACATGCAGACCACGTGGCCCGTTGGAATGATCGGTATCGTTGGGTTATCAACATGCATATAACTGATCGACCGCAGGTGGTTGATGGGTACCGCACATGGTACTACATGCACGGTCGATGTCTTATTGGTAACCCAACGCATTATAGTATCCAGGGATTCGTGCAGTGTGCAGCATCACTGAACGATGCGGTTAGTATATTACAAATGTTTTGCAATAATTGGAATAGATTTACATTTGTTATTATTTTATTTGTAATAATTACTGATGCATTTGATTAAATTTTGATGCATGCTTTCAAGCGGTTGAGGCTAGATACCAGCCAAGTCCTTGACAATCCTGACATCGATCGCGATGCATACCTTAGGGATGTTCAGCAGCGGAGTACTGACATGTTAGTCAATACTGAATTCCTTTTGCACGTGGCGCCGGAACAATAGTTTGGGGCCCCGATGCCGGATGAACCATTTGGCCCTCCGCGTGCAGATCGTCGTCGATACAGGCCCAACATGCGTGGTGGTCCAGCAATCGGTGGTCGAGGTAGGCGCGCCGAGGAAGAGGATGATGAGGATGAGGAGCATGAGAAGCATGTGCCGGTTGATTACGGTGCATTGCCGATTGTTGTTAGGGATCGTTCACCTGAACGTGATAGATTTGATTACGGTCAGAGTAGTGGGACAAATTATGGAGGCCAAATACTCTGGGTTTGCTCAATTTGCGTCAGGATCCCAATTTGGTGGATTTGGATCCGCCGGCGCTAGTGGGTATGGCTTAGGTGAAGTCACATTTAACACCCCATCTAGTGCGATGATTGATCCGACACAGGGTGGTTCGTCGTTTCAGTTGTTCGATGCTCTACCCCACAATCAATATGAACCTTTCCGTCCTTCATTCAACGCCTATCCTATGGAGCACCCAATTACTGATCTACAATTGGGAAACCCAGCATGGGCACAGTTCGGTGGTGAAAACAATTTGGCCTCCACTCAACAGCCGATTGGGCATGTTGAAGAGGAGCAGCCACGTCCACGACGGTCTACAAGACCAACGCGACCCATGGTGTGTGGAACCGGAACTCGACACCACAGGTAAACAAATTAACATAGAAATATATACGACTTTATAAGTTGTTGTGACTAATGAATTTTTTTAAATGATGAATTTGTTCGGACTAATGAAATTGTTTTTATTCCTTTGTAGGCACATATGAAGTTGTCAACGTGTAAGAGTGCAAGGCGAGAGAGATAGAGCATCTGCTTAGCATTTTGTTTTTTTTTTTTTTTTCATTTGAATTTAATTTGCCATGAATTTGTTTGATGTTATCTGTTTGATGTTAATTTCCCAAACGTGAATACAATGTATCAAAGCATAACAGATTGTTCAAACACATTCTTCAAAGCAATAGTATCAACAACAATTATAATAATTAGACACGGACCACAATGGAGTACATTGAACACGGACTTCAACAGTTCGAAACTTTATTTGCATAGTGCTAAATCGGACTTGCCAAGTCCGATTTTTTTTTTATCCGGTGTTTATCAGTCCGGTTTAAATTAAAATAATCTAATTTGAGTACTCAATCTACTAATTATTGCCGGCCAATCGAAAATCAAAAAAATTATTTCGGATTGTGCTAATTATTTCGGAGTACATTAAACACGGAAAATAAAGAGCAAATATTAAACGCATTTCGAATTGCGGGAACAATTGATTAACATAAAGTCATCTAATTGAGGTCGTTAATTGATGGATTTCGCCGTATACATTGTCCTGGATTCGATAACTGACTGACCACAGATAAATCTTTTCGACGTTACAGGAGATAGCAATTGATAGCATGAGTATAACGTGTTGCTCGACATTGAAGAATACAACACGGTCACATCCTTCTAATTGAAAGTGATCATATATTTTCTCCCACTGTTCGTCATAGAAAACTAATGTGTAGTCGAAGTAGAGTTCTAGTTTCTTGTCTCCAACAATGAATATTAGAGGCGCATCTACTTCAATGGAGTCGCGGAGAAATTCACTCAATTGCTCACGCTATATTTAAGAAAGCCAATATTCATAAGAAGCGGCATGTATTTAAACGTCATTTGAAAGCATAAATTTTCCTTACCGCAAATAGCATACCGAAATTGTGATAAAGATCTACATCTCTCTAATTGATCAAATTCATATGTTGGTCGTATTGTAGACCTTGTTGGCACACCGAAGGATGCTATAATATATAAATGAATTAGTATGAAAGTAAAAGTCAATTATTTCATGTACCACATATGCACCAATAATGTAATGTTGCTGCAATCAAACCGCCGAGTATTTCTCCTTCGACCAAATTGATTAAATTATCTCTTTGGACTGTAAGAGTCGACGCTAAATAAGTAACATTCAAAAATGAAGAAACCTGTATGTCGAAATAGGACAATGTCTTCAGGGTATAAACATTTTCAATCTTGAAATCAGCAATTCCCATTGTAAATTGCATATCTTCGACATAAACTTCTATCCATGCGCTATGATGTCATAATATTACTTTTGTCGTTAGATGTTCCATTAAATGGCGATGCATACAATTTGGAATTCTCTATTATAGACGTTGATATAGTATGTCAGAATGAAAGAAGTGTTAGAGTGTACTTTTAAAATGACAGTAGATTTATAATGAATTACCATGTGTAGGTTTTCCATAACTTGAATAATGAACCAAGTCGTAGCATGTTCTCTCACATCAGGCATATGCATCACATCGTTGCAAGCTAAGTAAAAAAATGTACAAACATAAAGGGACCTAAGTGTGGGTTGCAATGGGTATTACAAATTAACCAAATGCGAAAAAACGTACGTGAACGGAAATATAATTGCCGCAGACTTTGAAATATGACCGGAGCATATCGTTCTGCATCTTCTTGATTTGTAAAAATCCTAGACTTGGGCACGGGTAAACCTAACATCAGTAGATATCAACCCCAAGTTCGAGTGGGATAACATAAAAAAGTATCACCGACTCTTTGGTCTACACGTGCATACAGAAATTTCCTTCCATGGATTGATATTGCCTGATACAACAGACGTTGATTAAAGAGAGGAGTGATTCCAGTGAGTGTCTCAAAATCATCAAACAGATCCATTTTTTCTCACAGAGTAAATAGAAGGGGAACTACAATGTGTTGGTGTGGCCTTAGATATATATAGCAAACTGCAAAAGCAACTAAAATAATAAAAAATTATATATTATGGACTGAATAAAAAAATACCAAACTACAAAAGCAACTAAAATAATAAAAATTAATTATAAAAAAAATTTTGTGAATCCAATAATAGAAGTCCGAAGCATGCATTTTAAGTAAATCGGATAATAGGTGTCCGATTCATGCATTACATTGATCTTATGAAAATAAACTTTCAATTTTTTGAAGATATAACCATTCTACGATTCTTCATTTAATCGTGCGTAATCGTAAATCTGAAAGTCCCACAAATGATTATACAGGACTTTCGGACCAGTCCCAAGACCAAAATTCAAAAACAACAAAGTGTTAGCTTCGTCCATGAGGCGAATGTTCTCCGCTAATTCCATATACTCACGTTGATAGTAACCGTTGTGGAATCTGGTTGTGGTAGTGCCATGTACCACATCAACGAAGTCATTCTGAGTCACCGTCACAGCAATGAAGTCTATTAGAAGCGACTGTTGACGAGAAAACTCATGGATATCAATCATTAATGTCCGGCATCCTATAAGTGATTCAATCGAAACACTAGGATGGATGCTCGACATCGTTGGTACAACAATAATTCCACCGTCACTACCAGGAGCTATGTCATGGCTGTCCCCATCACCTAGGACATGTTGATGTTGAACTTGAGTCCTATTTCTTATAACAAAAAATTGAAATTGAAAACGACCAACGTGTCGCATGACTATTTGGTCATGCTCTTCAATTCCATAAGCATTAAGAAATTCTTCACAGTCTCCGTAACAAGACATTGCTTCAACATGCAACTCCCACGGGTCGGACGGTCCGTGGTATAGTAGTGCAGTACGGTTGACGTGCTCAACAAGGTGTTCAAACATGCAGTATGGCATTGCAAAGAACCATGGCGCGACGTGATGAACAATAAACCAACTTATTGTGCCGCCAAAAATGTTGTGATGAGGCCCGAGTGTGCGGGTTATTCTACAAACTGCATTTTTAAACGAAACACATTATTAGAAAAACAGAGTACATCCCCAAACAACATGACAAAAAAATTTAAATATTTGTAACTCGTACACCGGATCTCCTCATTGTGGAACTGATAAGCTACTTCACCGTCAATAAAACTCTACAAAAATTGCTCGGCTCTACGTCCAGTGTTTAATCTGGTGGGGAATGTAATGGAAAACCCTAAAACATTCATTACCATCAACCATGTTTGTGAAACGATAAACGTGTAATTTGTTCGTCCATGCTCTCTCATTAATGAGAACATCCAATAACACCGATTGTGTATTGTATGAATAAAATATGTAACAATATTCACTCCGTTCGGTAGCTGAAGTTCATTAGAACTGTATGATGCCCACATTTCCATCTCTCACAACGTAGTGTATACAAACAACTGAAGAATAAAATATCTTTGGTAATTAAAATATCTTTGCACTGATGTTAAATTTTTTATTGTCATGGTTGTATAAACTACTGATTCCATACTGAAGAATACAATAATTTATGTTACGAATAGTCATTTCATATTAAACGAATAGTCTTCTCATACTGATTCACAATAGCAATAGAATCAGGGAATCTATTCGTCTTGGAAATGAAAAAATGAACCATTATGGTCCGAATTATAATTTTTTTTTTTAAAAGTAAAAGTCGGACCATTATGGTCCGACTTCTACATATAAATTTTTTTTTTTACCGACTCTACCCAACAGCTAAGTGAATAAATAAAATCTTTCCGGATTCAACAAGTAATGTCAGCGAATATATTCTTTCCAACTTAAACAAGCAATGTCAGCGAATATATTCATTTCAAATTATAGAAGCAATGTTACGAAAAGTCATTTCATATTAAACGAGTAGTCTTCTCATACCGATGCACAATAGTTACTGAATCAGGGAATATATTCGTCTTGGAAATGAAAAAATGGACCATTCTTGCCTCGGAAATGTAAAAAGCTGAGAGTCGGACCATTGTGGTCCGACTTTCACAAAATTATAATTTATAACTCGGACCACAATGGTCCGAATTATAAGTTTTTTTTTTTTTAAAAAAAAAAAGTAAAAGTCGGACCCTTATGGTCCGACTTTTACATATAAATTTTTTTTTTTACCGACTCTACCCAACAGCTAAGTGAATAAATAAAATTTTTCCCGATTCAACAAGTAATGTCAGCGAATATATTCTTTCCAACTTAAACATGCAATGTCAGCGAATATATTCGTTTCAAATTACAGAAGCAATGTTACGAATAGTCATTTCATATTAAACGAGTAGTCTTCTCATACTGATGCACAATAGCAATAGCATCAGGGAATATATTCGTCTTGGAAATGAAGAAATGGACCATTCTTGCCTTGTAAGGGAATATATTCTTTCCAAGTCCAAACAAATTATTCATGACATTCAAATCTGAAGAAGCAATGTAAGGGAATATATTCTGTCATAATATCTTTTCCTATATCTTTGCGTATTGATTTATAGTCTTATTTATAGCCTGCTATACATTACCGCTACGTGCTCAGATTGAAGATCAATTGCTCAGATTGCAGTTCCCATTCTACAACTTCAAAGCATTCATCATCTTCTTCAGAACAATTCCTATGGTACGTTATAGTTTTATTTTTTATTTTTTAATTTAAATTCCGTCTTTAACCGGAATATGAATTATATTAGGGTAAAACGTATGTTGTGTTTGTTGGTCGCCAACCGGGAATATATGACAATTGGGAGGATGCAAAAAGTCAAGTGCATCGTTTTAGCGACAATTTGTATAAATCATATAACTCGAGGGATGAAGCCATTCAAGCTTTCAACAGATTCATAAGTAGTCAACGACATGATTCCCGAGCATGCAGTTCTACTTCCGCTTCAAGTTCCAGCTCCACCGTACCGAATACAAACACATATTCGAATGAGGAAATCTTAGCTCGTATGCAAGATGAACTCGCACGTGAGAATCACGAGCATGCGATAAAAGTGGATGCAATCGTTGAAGAATTTAAACATCTACTTTCAAAATAAGTTAACATAATATTTCAATAAATATTTGCATCAGTTTACTTCATTGTTGTTTTGCATGTGTATAAGTTTAATGTTTTGTAAGCATAAACCAACCCTATCAGTCCGAAAATAACAAAAAATATATGCAAAAATTCGTGACTAA